AAATTAGTTCTCTTTCCATGTTATGTTTATTTTCGAAATTTCCTATCATTTAATATGCGACTATCTATTTTAAATAAGAAAACTATTGGAACGATTATTGGAATCTTGGAAAAACCGTAGACTAAACCTAGTAAGGACCCTAACACTTTTCTCATCAAAATTTAGGTAAGAGATTGAGCTAGTCTCATTCAAAGATCCTCATGTTTTTATAAAATTTTGTTTTCTTTTAAAATAAATTATTTACAAACTTTACAAATTATTTAATTCTTCTAATATGTTTTTCGTAAACTCCTTATGTGTTTGTATATTATCGTGTGTGAGTGCTTCATGAATGCATGAATGTGTAAAAGAGAGTTTGTGTGCTATGATATGATGTGTGTAAACCTATATGAACACGATTTTTGTGAATGCGTAAATGAGTGTGAGCATTAGCGTATTTGTAAATGAAGGATTCGTGAATTGGTATAGATGTATGAGTTTGTGTATGGATGTAGTGTATTTAGGTAAAAATGTATATGTATCGTGGTTGTACAAATTATCCTCTAATTTTTAATAAAGTAGTAAGGCTATATATGTATATAGGTAAAGTTATATATGTATTGGATTGTGTGTGTTGCTGTATGTCTATGTATAAAACTATCTATATAAATAATGTGCATGTATATATGTGTATTGGATGATTGTTGAATAGTTATGAAGGTTAAACCATGCATTAGATTATGTGTAAATTGTGTATACTTGTTATGAGTGGAAAAGGTAAGCCCCTAAATTATGTAAGCAGGTGTGTTAGAGTGATGAAATCAGTTGGTAAAATAATAATATAAGAACATTTAAAAGATATAAAAATCCATTTAATCGGTATTAAAGAGGGGAGTGTGTGTGTGTCGCCGTTTTGGCAAGTGAAGTGTGGTGAACCTTATTCGTGGATATAGTCTCAACCAGATATGACTGGAAAGTCCCATAATGTAACACTCCGCTCACCTTCGCACTAAATTGTATATAAAAATCCCTATTTATTCGGGTCCTAAGCCCACTTAAACTTATTTAAATTTTATATCGTGATTTTATATCGTATTTCGTAATTTAATTCGTGATTTTAATTTTATTCTGATTTTGTTATTTTTACTTTATTTTATTTTATTAGTTATTATTTTTATTAAAATAATTTTTCAAGAGAAAAGATAGAAAAAGGGGCGGAATCTCGCGGGAAAACGCTCGCGGAAAAGACCTGCCCGCACGGGCATCGCACATCGTGTGCGCGTGTGTGTGCGCTCGGCCAGCACTGGACATGCGCAGTGTGTGCACGTCCTGTCTGTGTTGGGTGCAAGGCCAGTCTGCGCACGTGTCCATTTGTGTGCAGACAGGCCAGTCCACGCTCGTCACATCCCGCGCAGACAGGGCCAGGTGTCGTGCGCCCAGTGCAGAGGCCGTCCGCACAATAGGCCTGCACACAACGCACTGCGTACTTAGGCTAGGCTGATGCAATTGGAGGCTAGGTTTGCAGCATGCGACTGATTTGGGGAGGCGTGCTGTTGCCTCGGGTAGTGCGCCACTGCCCCTTGGGTGTCGTGCGCTGCCTTGGGTGGTGTGCTGCTGCCCCTTGATCATCGTGCGTGCGGTGGCACTACGCACCGCCTTGGGCGGTGTGCTGCCACCACCTTAGGTGGTGAACTACCGTTGGTTGTAGGTTCTTCCTCTGTTTTTCGCACTGCTATCGCGTCGCGTCACATCACTCTTTTTTTACTCAATTTTCTCTCTTTGCCAGATTTTACTACTTAGAATAAATTCGATGATCGTCATTTTTTATAAATAGAGACCATTTTTCCTCATCACTTACATTTTATTCTTCCATCCTCCAAGAGCTTAGAAAGAAAGGGAGTGATGTAGAGAGAAGGAGATGAGAAGAAGAAAGGTGTAGGAAAACTTTGAGGTTTCGATAAGAAACTTAATATTTCTTGTATATCTTAAGGAGCATTTCTAGAAATTAAAACTAGGAAGCTTGAAATTTATGATTTGCATGTTTTATGTTTACGTGTTCAAATGAAGTGAATTTTATTTGACAAAGCATCTTATAATATTTTATAGGTACTTGGTGATTTGCATGTAATCTAAATAACATGATTTTGGTGGTAATTTTTCTGAAGTACGAAAAGGGGAATGAGCATGAAATGGTATGAAAATTATGTATCTGTATTGACAAACATAATACATCAAGTTTCTCGTTAGACTTTTTATCTCTGAAGAGTTTATATTTTTTTCTCCCCCATATGGTTTAGAAAGACGTGAGAGGATCGCTCCCTGTAGATGACGATGTACCTTCTGACGAGAGTAGTGATGCGAATATCTATTAAGGGTTACCCTTAGTTAAGTATTGTCGTGCCTATAAAATATATGATAGGACTATTGTGGTTAGCACGGTCGTGGTCATAGATCGTACCATAGTTTGACAAGCCAAAAATGTATCATGAGTAAATCGTCGCTAAGTATCTAATATGATAATTGGACATGGGTAGTCAGAAATTCGTATCTGCCCTCAGTAAATGGAAGTCGGAACGATTTCGCGAAACATGACACAAAAATCTGAGCGTTTAATGATTTATTTGATTTTCTTTATTATAAGCATGATTGATATGATTGTTATGACTATGATATGATGGATTTGATATTTTTCTTTAATAAATAAGTTATTTTTACAAAGTACGAAAGGACCCTGACGTAACCCCTGATGGTAAGTATTGATAACATAATTATTCGCTTTTAAAATCTTATGATATTTTTAAATACTGTTTTTCTTACTAATTATATGGAACTCACCCCTTTCCATACCCCCAGATGAGGAAGATAGTGGAGAACCGATCGCTGACCTACCCTTTGAAGTTTATGAAGATCCCGTAGATGTACAAACCTTAAGTGCATGACTTGTTCCACACTCTAATGAATCCATTCACATAGTGAAAGAAGTGACCCCTTTTGTATTTTGATATTTTGTATTTTGTTGCCACTTCTGATCTCAGTTATATATGTGTAATTGGAACTCATATATATTTTAATAAAGGATTTGTAATAATTTGCTCTGCTGCATACAATTATTTATCATGCACTCGTAATCTGTTTTTATATCTGACACGCTTATGCCTTAATTAATATTTGGAATGTGACACCATACATAGCTATTTCGTGTTCAGGTGCATGTGGAAAATGATAAGTGATACTCAATGCATAACTGTTTCATATTCAGGTGCATTGGGAAAGTGAAAGTGTTAAGTGATAAGTAATGTGATATATCCACGTGATAGAGGAAATCTTTAGTGCCCTCATTGGTGCTGACGAAAATGACGTCGCGCGATGAAACTTCAAAAGACATAAAGTAAAAATTGTAAGTAATAATAAAAAGGCAACTGTAAAAGAAAGTGTAACTGAAAAGTAATTAGTGAATAGTGTAAAGCGAAAGTGATCTTGATATGTGTAAGGATACTTTACTAGGTGATAAGTGTAAGTGACTAGTAAAAAGTGTAAGTACAAGTGTTTTAAAATTAGTGAGCAGTATTTCTGCCAACTTATTGGTTTATGTGAATGTGATCTTAAAATATTGTGATGTTTGAGAAACCATATGCGAATGTTAAAAGTATTGAAATATGTGAAAGTGAAGTTGTGGTCTTGTGCATGTATTGTTATTGTGTTGTTTTCCATGCTTGGGAATTGATTTTCAATAAATCTACATGTGCTTTATCGTTCTTATGTGATTAAGTGTATGTATGTCTTTATTTTAGGCACTGATCTTTTTTCTTATTGAGTTTGTGAAGCTCATACCAATTTACACTCTCTCCTAGTGGAGATTAATTTAGATCAGGAGAAAGTTTGATGTTAAACAACAATCTTATAATTAGATATATCATATGAAACCTTTACTGTAACTTACTTTTTTTTTTTCTTGAATATGTTAATGGTGATTTATGAAGATTCATTCACAAAATGCTGTGACAGCAGGTGATTAATTACGGGAAAGAACTGTTTTTAAAGGCTTTTATACAAGTATTCTGATTTATGATTGTTAATATCCCTCCCCCCACCAACATTCCCATACACTTTATATCCACAGTAATGTCCCTCTCACTAGCAATATTTAGAGGCCTTGTTATCTCCATAATAATTATAAAGTAGTTTGAAATACATATGAGTTGTTAAATTTCATGAATATAATTTTTTGATTTTAAATTCGTACTTAAAAATTATTAGAAAATAAAATTTAAAATATACTCATCACATCTGAAAAGTAGGTGAACTCATTTATACTTTAAAGCATATTATAATTATTTCATATCATGAACCGTTTGATTATTAATTAAGATTAATAACAAAAAAAAAAAAAAATACAAATACAAATATATATGCAATATAAAATATGGGTGAATTATTAACTAATAAATAAAATAAACTGATGAGATTACCACTTAATTAGTTAACTTGATTAGTCCAAGATAGAAAACAAATTAACAGCCGAAGCATGAATTAGTTAATTAGTATCCACGTAATTGATTTTTGGATTGAACTTGTATGATAGTGAAAACCTTATAATAATGGTTTATATATTAATTAAAAATCTGTTAAATTCAACTGAAGACATGTACCTAATAAATATTTAATCTAACTTGACGACAAAATACAATTATAAGCATAATTAATTCTACAAAATGAAAAATAACCATGTTTTGGGGCAACCTAACCATTGCTCAGCACTCTTCTCCCAAAACGACAAGAATATAATTTTTCAGAATCTTATATTATATATTATGGAGGAGCCTATATACGTCAATCTAGACTTGAAATATCACAGAAAAAGAAAAGATTTTACTCTTAAATTTCGTCCCTATGTTGTATGTATGTATATATATATATATATATATATATGTAGGTAGCTAGCCAGCCATAAGTCTTCCCTAAATAAGTCAAGAAATTATCAAATTAATCCCCTTAAAATCTTTTCTTCCTTTCCAAAGAAAATGGTTGAAGCCACAGCCAACCCTTTTGATCAGCTTTCAATTATATTTCCATCCTCTGACAGCACAGATTCCTTATTGAATTATGTGGTAGATGAATATAACATGAACCACTCCCATAAGATATTCTCTCCAATTGATATTTCACTACTTGTTCCACATTCCCCTGCAGCCGTTTTGTCAGATGAATTTATCGACTATCCGTCTGGTCATCTCCTCCATCAGTCTGTGGATTATGATCTGGAGGAGATGGAACCATTTAAGAGTACCCAGATGGAGAACATTACAAGATGGCTGGATGAGGAGGATGATGAGGAGGAAAGCTTAATATCGTTTGTTAATCATCATCGTCAAGATCTCTTTTATCTTGATCAAGATGTTAGCGAATGCAAGTTTGATGAGCTCATGCATTCAGATGAAGCTTCCATGGAGTTTGATGAACAGTTTTTAATTTTGCCAACGAAGGAGATGGAAATTGATAAGCAATTGAGTGTAAAGCATCTAGAAGGAGCTTTTGCGGAGGCCATGGAGAAGGAGCAGGGAGAACTTGCAGAGGTGATACGTCGTCGCATAAATGAGAAATTGAGTCCCGTAGGAGATATTGAGGAACGTGTGATGTACTACTGGTTTCAGGGAGTCGAGGAAAAGCAAATAGATTACATCAAGCAAGAATCTAACAAGATCTTTGGAGCGGCATTGGAGACATTCTATCAGATATTTCCTTACGGGATGTTTGCGCACTTGGCAGCAAACTCAGCAATAGTGGAATCCATGCCGTGTGGTGCAGAGGTGCTGCACATAATTGATTTCGATGTGGGACAAGGGGTACAGTGGTGTTCGTTAATGGCGACTCTTGCTCATCAACATCAACAAAAACTAAAGATGATTACATTGAGAATAACATCAATTAAGTGGGAGGACGAGGAGAAGTGGAGATTTGTGGAAACAAAAAGGAGGCTTTGTGATTATGCAATGGAGATTGGTGTCAAATTGATAGTAGAGGATCAGGTGGAGCTTCAAGAGATGGTGATAAACAGGTTAAAAAACAGAGGATATTGTAAAAGAGAATGGTTAGGATTCAATTGCATGTGGGGAATTCCACACATGGGAAGGAGGAGAAGAAGAAGAGATGTTAGAGAATTTATAAGTGGGGCAAAAGAGATTTTAGGCTGGGGGATATCATTAGGAGGAATCATAAGCTTTGGAGATGGAGAATCAAGTGTAAATTCTCAGAATCAATTAATGGGTAATAATGGGTTTGGTTCATTTTATAACAGATATAGGGATCATTATAAAGCATTGTTAGAATCAATGGAGTGGAGCTTTTTCCCTAATCATCTTCATCTTTCAGAAGCAAGAGTAGCCATGGAATCTCTGTTTGCAGCACCTTTTCTTTCTCCCCATTCTTGGATCAAACTCTGGGAAGAGATGAAACAAGATCAAAAACAAGGAGCTGGATTTTCTTTTAATAATTTTGAAGCCTCCTTTGGGTTACAAGGAAGGAGAGTGAGGGAAGAAAGCTTGATTGAAGCAAAGGAAATGGTGGGAGATGATCATCAAGGGAAGACTCCATACAAAGTCAGAATTCAAGGACTCAATGCCCATCAAATGGTCTTGGAATCGAAAGGAACTCCCTTAATCACAGTCTCCACGTGGCAATAATCCAAATCAAATTAACTGTTTTTCCTCCCTTCAACAAATTAATTTCTAATTAGGCGTATGTAATTACTGCGGATAATAAATTTATATAATTAATTAAATAATAAAAAATAATCATACTAACGATAAGGAAAGAAAAACATAATATTTTCTGCATGCAGTTTTTTTTTTTTATTTGTCCTCAACTTCAGTTGTAATTATTCTGAATAATGTATTTTGATCCTATTTTACGATTCATAAGTGTATTCTTTGGTGATGTTTGTACAATTATTTTGAATATTTATTAATCTAATTATCTTATATATTTTAAGAAACAACCAAAAAAAAAAAAAAAAAGAAAAACCCTCAAGAAGCTATCTACCGCATTATAAAACTGAATGATAAAGAAGGTTTTGTAATTGTATTTTTGTAAGTATTAATTCTTGTAATTTATTCTCTGTTTTGAGCCGCTTCTAATGAAGATCTTCTTTTTGGTATAGCTCGTGAACAATTTTTCTTTAAGAGAAAAAATTAGATTGACATAATGTCATCCACACAAAGGGAAGATAAATCTTTTGGCTCTTTCAATATCAATACGTTGATTATTTCGCTCTTGTATTTTGGGTAGAGAAGGGATTGAAATGTTGGATAGGTAAGCATCTTATAGTAAGAGGAGTAATTATGAACCCTTTAAACCATCTCTATGAATATGGTGAAGGTCGAACGCTTTAAAAAGAAAAAAATAAAGAAGAATTTAGGACTTAAATGTCTAAGTGATTTAGTGGTTTTATGAATCTATTTAACATTCTAATTTTAGACATAGACATAATTTCTAATTATTTTTTTTCTCGAGCTGTATGGGGAAAAAACCTCTTAATACGTTTCTAGAGGGGTAGTATTCATCTACATCTATCCCAATGAGCCGTTTATTGAATCATTACAATTAATATTCGATCCCAACGAGAAGGAAGAAATCTTCGTAAAGTGGATTTTTATGATCCGATAAATAATCAAACCTATTTAAATGTTCCCGCAATTTTAGATTTCTTTAAAAAATGTGCTCAACCGAAAGAAACTGTTTATGATATTTGAAAAAAGTGGGAGATTTTATGGAAGTAATCTTAATAAAACGAAAGTCAATTAATGAAATAAAAAAAGGGGGTGTGGATAACTCGTATATAGCTTTGTATAAAAATTTCTCTACTCTTTCCCCCCCTCTTTTGCTCTATTCATACCTATTTAGTATTCTATTCCTACTAGAGAATATTATTTTCTATAATGTATAATGAACAAAAATTGATTTTACGAAAATGGATTTTATTGATATTGATATAATTTGATTGATATAAATTACATAGGAAAAAAAATCAAGTGAATAAATTACATAGAAACAAAAATCAAGTGAATAAATTACATAGAAACAAAAATCAAGTGAATAAATGAAGTAATTGGTCTAAAAATAAAAAAAAAATATCATTTTTTTTACATCACCCTGGCTGGGGTGGTTTTCTTTCATTGTAAATCTATTAACAACTAACAAAACAAGTGATTAAGATTAAGCTTGTTTATTTTATTTTTTTCTATTCTTATTTTTTTTCATATTTAATATTCACAATCATATTGACAAATAGTGTATCTAACAAATATAATTTGATTATAGATAAATAGATCTATTTATCCCCAATCCATAAGTTTGGTTTTTTATTTTACTTCATTTAAATGATAGGCTCTTTGATTTTTCTCTAAGATAAGAAATTTTACTGTATGATACAATAAGTCTTTTTGTTTATTGATAGTGAAAACAAAATGGATAAATGACATAAGAATAAGATAAGAGGCAGTCTATAAATATTTATTACTTTCTCTATGATCTGTCTTTTATATGAGAATTTTTTGTATTTTTAGCTAATCCGTTCATTTATTTTTAGGTTCAGAATGAATTAGAAAATTTGAGTTTAAATTTTTTAATTTCTTGCTAGTTTAATGTTTTTTTTTTTATTGTGTCGTGAAATTTTCTCTCCTTTTTTTTTTTGTATTTCGATTGTATCTACACATTCTAATTATTTTCTTTGAGTTGCTAACTCAATGGTAGAGTACTCGGCTTTTAAGTGCGACTAACATCGTTTACACATTTGTATGAAGCGAAGGAATCGTCCATATCAGTGGTAGAGTTTGTAAGACCACAACTGATCCTGAAAAGAAGGAGTGGAAAAAATAGCATGTCGTATCAATGGAGAATTCGGATAACATATTTTTTTTCCTGGATCGGTACAAACCCGTGTTTGAATTCCCGTTGCGGAAAAAAATGGATTCATCTATTTATTTTATATCTTTATACCTATTCTTTATTTATAAATTACTTTCGAAATCCCAAAGATTAAAATTTCTCTACAA